AAGGAAATAGGGATGTTGGCTTGGTGTTTGAGAGCCCATGCTATTTTCTAAAAGATTTTTGTGTTTGCATTGAACTATACCATTCTACAAAGGTTAATAGACACAAGAGCTTTCATGAATAATACCAAGAGATGAAAAAAATGAGAAGCATTGGTGATTAAAGAAATCACGAGCATTATCTGTGCAAATGCGCTGGATAGACATATTGAACTGTGTTTTAAACATGGAGATGCATGCCTTAATTTTGGAAAGTGTTTGGTTTTTGGACTGTATGAGGTATATCGAGGTTCCCCATGAAAAATCATCAACTATAGTGAGGAAACACTGGGAGCCAATCATGGTGAGGAAACACTGGGAGCCAATCATGGTGAGGAGTATGATAAGAACCCCAGATGTCGAGGTGTATTAAGGAAAAAATGCAAAGTAGTGTGAGATTTGCTACGTGAGAAAGTAGTCCGAGATTGTTTTGCAAATAGACAATAAGGTTAAAGAACATATGCACTATGACCTGATCTTTGATGAAAAAGTAAAGAATTTTTATTGAAATTTGTATTACAAGTAGAAAATTTATTATTTGTAATACAAGACATAAACTTTTGAGAGTTTCCTACAGAATCTTTTATCCAGTAGTAGAGACCACTATGAATCTTACCGAGCCCATCAGTTTCCCAGTCAAAGGGTCCTAAAATTCACACATGTTAGAAAAGAATTTCAAACAACAATTGATATTTTGACATATTTTGGAAATGGAGATGAGATTAAATTATTAAGCTGGGACTGATAAAACATTATGGAGAACCAAAATTTTATTAAGAGAAACTATTCCTAGGTGGGTGGGTGGCTGGTGCCATGGTTCCATTTGGCATACGGATTTGGGTGGATAATTTTGTAGGGGTGTGGGCAAAATATTTGGGATTGCAAATAATGTAGTCACTAGCACCTGAGTCAATTATTTAGGCATCATCTTTAATGAAGTTTAAGCAAAAAGATGTGCCTACATAGATGTTGTATTAGCTTGGGGAAACTGATTGGTCATTGGAAGTAACTATTGATACTACTCAAGTCTGATTATGGGTGCTAAAATCCCATTTCCACCAGTGGTATTTGTGTTAGTTTGATTTGTCGTAGTCCTAAATTTCTGACTAGGTGGACGCCCATGTAGTTTCCAACAATGTCGTATGATTTCTTCTTTTACAATAATCACTATATCGCACACTTTTCCCAGATTAAATGGATCCTGGACCAGTGGACCCATTAGTGTGATATAGGTTATTGGCTGTGCCAAAGCCTGCACCGATTTGTGTGGTAAAACCCGACCCAATTGCTGCTCCAAATGACTGCTACTTGGAATTGCTGGATTGCAAGAATGATTCGGGCCATTGGATCCATATTTAGCCCCATATAAAACAACTCTACTCTTACTTGGAAACCGTAACCGCTCATGATTCTCCTTGGTGCCTTCACCTTTTACCCTGTCATGCAATAACTCTCTCTATGTGATATTAAAAATTGTTGCGTCACCGGTGTGAAGGCCATTGTGAGGGTTCATGTGCTAACTGTCATGTTGCATGACCAGTTGGTAAGTGCAGCAAAGCGACGATGCCAGCTGCCAGCATTTGGGTTCTAGATGGAAGGAAACTTTCGTTTAAACCCATCAAGAAATGAATCAACTTTCTTGATCTTTCACTCTCGTGATCTATTGAAGGATGTTTGCCATTGCTTCAAGGGGTTCCTCAACAAAGTCCAACTCCTTCCACACCGCCGAATGGCGATTAAAATACGCTATTACTGGTAAGTTATTTTGTTTGATCTCGGCAAGCGTTTGTCGCAAGGTGAACAGCTTGGCTAGATCAAGCTGTCCACACATTTCTTTTATATTAGTGCACATTTCTTAGGCATTTTCCGTCTATGGCAATCCGGCGACAACCTCCTATGTCAGGGAGTTTCTAATCTATGCCCGAACAAGGGTGTTACAGTGGATCCAATGTTTGAGTAGTTGTGGATCATTTGGTTCTAGAAGGTTCCATCAATGAACCCTTCTTTGTCCTTGGTGATCCATGTGGCGTAAATTTTTGTTTCAGTGAGAGGTTGCTTGATAAGCACAAGTTCTGATCCGTCAGACACCACTGAGTAGAGTGGGTCGCCTAGTTCCGGCTGATTGGAGTGATTTTGCATAATTTGGAAAACCAGGTAGGGATTTTGACCCGTTGGGTTGGGTGCCTAACCCATGAATCCCGAATGGGTTTGGGCCATACTGGGTTTGGTTTTGGCTAGTATTCTGACCCAATCCAGAATCTTGGTTTTGTGTAGACAGGTTTAATGTTGGTGGAGTTGTGATTTGCAGGTTATCTTTGGGATCCATGAGGGAAGTCGTTTGGCTAAACTTTTGTAATTCTGGGATTTTGTGATTTTGATAGAGAAATTGCTAACCCAAGTGCCTTGTTTACAGGTTCTGGAAATTTGGCTAGGAAGGATTTGTTGGGGATGCTTAATCCAAGGGCCTTGTTTCACTAACTTTGGAAATCTGGCTAGAGAAGGTTTGCTAGGCGGAAACGAAGTTAAAAGGCTTGCTCTAATACCATGTCAGAAACAAAGCAACAAGATGCAAAAGGAGCAACTAGGTTGCCAAAGAATGCAAGAAGACTCAAAAAGTCTGTATATTGTATTGTGTCTGTTGTGTTTACAATGAGTTTAATTTATACAAAGAATCAAAGAACATTATAAGAAATGTAATCAAGGGTGTAATTATAGTATTAATTTAAATAAAGTAATTCCTAGATATCTTGTAATCTGCTTTATTCCAGGATGCATGATTTCAATAATCTTTAATTTCATTCCATATTGCATCACGTCTATCTAAAAGATTTTTCATTCATCAATTTTAATTTAGTACAATTTTCAATGTTTTTTAAATCGTTCGATGAAAATCAAGATTTAGAAAAGATTGGGGAATTGTCTTTAAAGGAATTAATATCAAGATCTTTCTTTTAAGATATTGAAGTTGTTATCGATCATTTTTATTTTAATCTTAAAATGCATGATTTTGTTAATGAAAAGTGAGTGCATTATAGTGAAATCAAATAGTAAATTTTGTTCCAAAACTGTTAGACAAATGTGATAAACCTTGCATAGATCCTCCAAACTTCGACTAGTCTCCTAGAACCCTAAAGTTAACGGCCAGGTGAACCTCCAATAGCTATCCCTTATTAATAATCATGGGGATTCGAACTCATAGCCTTTTGAGTAATACACCCAAGAGTCACAAACAAATCGTCAAACTACCTAGAGGTAGTTACTCTTAGCGGTATTCAGTTCCGGGTACCCTATATTTTTTGAAGGAATTGGAACCGAAACCAGAACCAAAACCGACGGTTCCTTGAAATTTGGAATCGAAACTGTAGGTACCCAGAACCGAAACCTGTAGTTCTGGTTCCGGTTCTGGGTACCTTGTAAAATTACAATTACCCCCCACCGGCATTTGTTAACAAAAATAAAATTATAAATTATAAATTACAAACTCCATTACTTTGTAAAGGTGGATTCTCAAAAATCAAACTAACTTACTTTAAATGTTATGAAATATAAATATAAATGTATTCACATCACTGTTTCTACAGAAGTTTTTATTAAACCCCTTACTCTTTAATTTTATTTTATATTAGTCTCGGTTCCTGATTTCGGTTCCTAACACAGTAGCGGTTCCAAAAATTTGGAACCGGAACCTACCCGTTGATGGCCGATTCTGGGTAAAAACCGGAACCAAACCCTAAGTACCCGTCGGTTCCGGTTCCAATCGGTTCTTTTGAACACCCCTAGTTACTCTAATCTCATTACCATGTGGTATTCATTAGAGAATCTAGTATTGATTAATTGCGGAAAGCTTAATCTTAATTTGAGGATGGGATGAGATAATCATCATCAAGACCTACATATCACAAGAGGTGGTAAAATTACCTCAGTGGCTTCTTCAACTTTATGCTGACACTTTGCAGATTTTGTACATTAGCAATTGTCCAAAATTGTCATCTCTACCCGATGATATGCATCGCCTCACTACTAAGACAAAATTAGTCATTGGAAGCAGTCCTACACTGAGCAAAAGACTGGCCAAAAATTGCTAATATCCCCGAGATTTGGCTTGATTTCAGGATCATTGCATCCAACCATTACAATTAGGTACTTCTTAATCTATCTCTGTGGTTTTTCTTCAATTAATTATTAGTTTAATTTGTTGTGAAATGTGTCAAATTTGGGGATTTCATCAATTGAGACACTGATGGAATATGTCTTTGATATTTTTCAGGTATCATTGGATTTTCTATGGAATCAATTTTCTTTAGGAGGAGCTTGAATTGAATAAAACAAACACTGCTGGTCATCAATATATATATCTTAAATGCACCTTTTGATTCATTTAGAATAATTAAAGCAGGTTTACCTCCCTTTATTAATGTAATTTCCTGATATCAAGAAAATTAATAATTTTATTTATGTATATTTAAAAAGGTCTTTTTATGAATGACTTAATTTTAGCTTTCTCTCTAAATCAAAAACATGATCTGTGTTAATCACCATAACTCTTTCTTGTTTAAATGACATAATTAACCTTTGGGTTATGTAAATTTCTTTAGAGACTTCTAATAATGAGTTGCATTTACTAATTCTTCAATATTTTAAAAAATAATAATAAACCTTCTATTATTAGGTTTGTAGAAATTGATTTAAAGAAATGAGAGACTAGACTAGAGAGTCTTATTTTTATAAAGTCATTCCACAAGTTATATAGTAAGAGATTTCCAAAATTATTAACTTTTTCTTATTATTGGTTAATTACAGTACTATAAATTTTCCTATTCTTATAGTTCTTTTGAAATGAATCTTCCACTAAAAATCATATAAATTGGGCCTCAATTGTCGAAGTCCATCCAAGGCCCAACAAGTCTTACCAGTCATCTTCATCTAAACTTCTTTTCAAACAAAACACCACCTTAAGCCCTCCAATTTTCAACCTCCTTAAACCCTAAACCCCCGTCGTCAATTCGCCATGGAACAACTCACCACCGAAACCCAAACAGAAGATGAGAAACTCGAATTCAAACCCAACGCAGACATCTGCCAACAACTCATGGACCGTTACTCCGCCTCCGCTGCTCCACAGCACCGCCACCTCGTGGCAACCGCCGCCGCCATGCGTTCAATTCTCACTTCCGAGTCCTTACCTCTAATACCTTCCGCCTACTTCGCCGCCGCCATTTCCTCCTTGGAATCCGCAACTCTAGACTCCACCGAAGTTTCGGCTCTCCTGACGTTTCTATCGATTGTGTTGGCGGTGGTGCCGCCCAAGGAGATTGCGGAATCGAAGGCGACTGAGGCGGTGGGAGTGCTGGTAGGGCTGCTCCGGAAGGAAGAGGTGTTGGGAGTTGCGAGTTTTAAGTGTGTGGTGAAGTGTTTGGGGGCTTTGTTGGTTGGTTTTTGTGATTTGGAGGATTGGGATTCGGTTAAATTAGGTTTTGAAACCTTGCTTAGATTCTCCGTTGATAAGCGTCCCAAGGTATAATTTAGTTTTAGTCATCTATTATGTGAATTTTGATATGACAAGTGACTCTTATAACGTAAACCAACATTACAATTGTGTGCTATTGCTAATTTGAATTGTAATATAGAATGTCAGGCTATAGATTTGTGTGTAACTGAGAATGTGAATTTAATATATAATGCCATGCTTAATTATGGTACCAGCCAGATTATGTAGCTGGACCATCCATTGATTGATTTATGCTTGGTAAATTATTTGTCTATCTATGGATTGTATAGTTGATGATGTTTTTCAGTTGGTTTGTTCATTGAAATGCCTTTGGAATGTATCATTCATGCTTATGAGGTATGTTTAGAATTCACATGAACAATGATTTGTTTTCAAGCAAGACTATTGCTCTTTGAGGAAGCATAAATATAATTCACTTAAATAGGCACTGCAATATCGCCTTGTTGACATATTGGTATGCCAATCTGTCTTTGGCGTTAGCTTTTATATGTGTATGACTAAGCAGCTTAGCTATATGAGCTTTTGTGAATGCTGATAGTGCAACTGCTACATCTTAGGCCTTGTTATGGGCTTAATAATAAGCCATTTGTATTGCTATGATCTTGTTGATATAGGCTTCAAGTTGGAGGCAAATTCTTGTGGTTATTAATTTTGGAAATTCCACATAAGACAATTTAAATAATGTTTCACTAGAAATGATATGTTTCGACTCAAGTTGTTGAGAGAAACATAGTTTGGAAGTGCCCTCCATTCTGATGATGAATGATGATCGAGTCAGTCCAATTGATTATTATGGTCCTTCTTGAACTTCTTTTTTTATTGTAGGTCCGGCGGTGTGCTCAAGAATGTTTGGAGAAAGTTTTTAAGTCTTTTCAGTCTTCAACTTTGATCAGGTCAGCAAGCAAACTAATAGATTCCTTGTTCCAAAAGTACATTTCGTTTGCAATTACATCAAGCACAATGACTATAGATGGATTGAACGTTGAAACATCGACAAAACCTGAACATCTAGAGGTTCTCCATATGTTAAATGTGCTGAAGCTTACAATTCCTTATCTCTCTGCTAAAGTCAGTTCGAGAGTTCTATCAGAACTATGCAAACTTATGACTTCTGAGATCTCACTGCTTACAAGGCACATTTTTAAATGTATTGAAGTATTTTATGAAACTTCAATAGTTGAAGTTAATATTCTGGAAATGGAGAACATTATAGTTTCTCTTGCTTCATATGTATCTTTAAGAGAGAGAAACCCAATGGACACTGTCATGTCTGCGGCCTTCTTGTTAAAAAGTGCTCTGGTCAAACTTCACAGTGGAGAAGCAAGATCATCATGGCTTAAGAATGCTCCTGTAGTTTTTGGTGCTCTGGCTGGTATGCACCTTCTTATTTTTATTGTGTCATTCATAGTGTTATTGGTATACATGTTTTTGGAGTGGGAATAATAATATGCTATGTTTGACATTTCAATTCTTGTACCTTGTGTTGCTATATGATTATTACCTGCTGTTATCTTGGGCTTCTAGTGTATGTACCCTGTGTAGTTATTACTTTCTTCTATTTTTTTCCGTTAATTAATATTTCCTGGTAGATTATTTTGTATTGTTCAGTCAAATTGATAAACTTATTGATGAGTCTGCTCTGTGATAATCTTGTACTGTCTCTTGCTATGTCAAGTTGCTGCACTGTCTGTATTATTGCATTTTCATGAATTATATCTTGGAGTGACAACTAACATGTATTTTAGCATTGAATTTCCAAGTTGTGATGTATGCCTACTTCTCCATGGCACCATATAATCTTTCTAGCATCGGCTCTACTCATCTATCCACTTCGTGTCACATTTTTGTGAAAGTTATTTGATATAGTGATTGCAGTTTCTCACCTCAGATTATGATAATGTGCATACAAGGGTTTTCCCTCTTGGTCCAAAGTTGGTAATGTGTTTCTGCAAGGTTTTGTTGATGCATGCCATTTATTAAATCCTAAATTGCTTTTACTATCAGTTGATTGATTTTAGGTACATTATGAATATGGATTTTTCATTTTTTATAATTTTAATTATTATGTGTTCTCAAGCTCTGCATTTCATGTTCTCATGATTGGTCTAAGTACTTTCTTAGTTCTTCTGATGCAAGTGCTAAAATACTGATCTAGGTCTTTTGACTTCTGAGGGCAACACTTCTTCACAAGCTTCATGTATCTTGAAGGAATTGATCAGCCAACTTACAGCTGAAAATTTGTCATTTGAAGATAGAAGTCCGGAGAGTGAGGAAGCTAGTGCAATTAAATTTACTTGTGCCATCTTCGATAATGCTCTTAGCTCATATGATGGTATTCCAAATGAGCATATTTTGGCTGTCATTTCTCATTTGTTCCTCAAACTTGGTAAGTGGACTTTTGTTAATTGGATGTATGAAGTATCATTCATATTCTTTGTCTTCTTAAGAGCCACTAAAATTAGTTTCATTGTGTCTTTCAAATTGTTTATTTAAGTCTATATTTTTATAACTACAAACTCTGCTGGCATGTGTTTTTGTTATGTTTTGTTTTGACATATATACTTGTCATCAGTTTTTCTTTTTCTTTTCTTTCTTTCTTTTTTTTTTTTGGTTAGTGCTTGGGATGTTAAGATCTAGTTTTTATTCTGTTCGTGCACAAGAGGTAAAAATGTCATAAGTTTAGTGTAAATAATTGTTTTCATTGAGTTAAACACACATGTTTTTGACTCAGTCAATAAGTTCCTTAATTGGGTCTTACTGCAAGTCTCACTTAACCAGTGATTTTTATTTGTCTTTGTGTATCTTATCTCATAAGTGTACAACGTGGACTTTTAAGACATCAATTCTGAGGCCATGGGACTAGAGAAATATAAATGGAAATATTATTATGTTGGATCAAAACATATAAGTGAAAATTTGATTGTAAATAGAGAATCGTTCCACAATTAAGGTCATTAAACATTGATTGATCAATTGTTCATTCTTACATAGAGCACATGTATTGTTAAAATACTTGCATCATATCGTCTAAATCACAATTAAATGCTAATGTTTGAACACATTTACAAAAATACTTTTTCAAATCAAATACATATGTTTTTACTTACAGGCTCTTGTACCCAAGTAAAAGCCTTATCAATACTTAAGATCACAAAAGTCAACCTCATATGAGCTCTTTTATCTCAACTTAGAATCATACTTGTAGCTCTTGGGTTTCACATGGTCAATTTCTTATGGCATTGTCAAATCACTACTTTAATCTCAGTTTTACTGATGTCAATTCCTATGTAGAACCTTATTCTATTTGTAATAGTTTTCTTCTCTCATCAAGTAGTAAGCCTTTTTGTTTCATTCTAGGAAGCAAAAGGAGTATCTGTATTTATCCCCCCCCCCCCCCCCCCGAAAAAAAAAAAAAAAAATGACATGCTAACCATGAAAATAAGATGCTTTTCCAAAAACCTTGAAAGAATTTCAAAATTTATGCAAAAAAATAGTGTAGTCAGCTCTCAATTTATGAACAGTAAAATAACCTAATGTAGAAACAAAAAATATCCTATACTGACCTCTTTTGGAATCACAATAAACATACATCTATTATCTTGATATACGTATTTTTCTAAAGGTGTTAAATTGTTATCATTTTGTTTATGATTTTAGTTATTTGTTGTATATTAATTATTCATGTGTTAAAAGGGGAATTCACCAATCAATGTTTCTATGGTTGTCTCGTGGAATTGATCTCATTTTGGAACAGGTTCATGTTTATTTATATTTTGTTCATATTTTGATTATGTCATGTTGAAGGTTCTCTTTTTCATAGAATTTCCACTATCTATGGGTAAGAATAAGTTTTGCTTATAAGATTTTTAATAAAACTAAATCATTCATAATTGTTTGACTGATAGCTTAATTGATGTAGGACATCATAGAGTTTTGGAGGTTTTATCTATATAGTTACTTTTCAAGGTTTTCTAGCTATTTGATTATTAGACTCTTCTATTCTGGTTGATTATATATATATATATATTGGACTCACAAAAGATTGAACATTGGCTATTATTGTAAAATTTCTCTCACTTTTGGGCTAATTTTTTGTCCTATTTCTTAACTTTTCATCCCTTATTTTGATTCTCATCAATTGATATTGAAGCTTGTGTGATTTTCATCGATTAAGATTGAAGCCCAACTTTGTTCTCACTAATAGACACTTTCCAAACACTTAAGTTACTTCCAAATGATTTGGTAACCAATTGAGATTCTGCTCACAAGCAATACCAAACCTATCAAAAACCCTAAAACCAATAAAGACAAGAAACTTGCGGCTATCATTTGATCTATTGTTGTGCATCAAGGATATGAAATGCAACAAACAAAACTAGCAATTTCCTGTCTAAAATAAACTTTGAACCACTTTTACCCTATATTCATCATAAAGATCTCATTTGACCCGGTCTTAGTGCTGTCATCTTAACATTAGCAACCTTTGGGTACATGTTACCTTATCATCTTTACCATTGATCTCCTTAATTACTAGATTGCCCTCTCTAATTGTTTTTATCTAAAAGAATTGGTGATATACTGATGATAAATACTAGGGAGGGATTGGCAATTGACCAAGTCATTGGTGATGACAAGGTATCATTTGCTAGTAGAGAGAGTGTGGCACCAAGACTAATTCAGGTCAAGCATGGAGATCTGAAAGGTTATTTTTGGTAGAATTGGTTTAGCTTATTAATTTGGATTGAAAATACTGGATTTGTTGGTAGCAACAGTGTTCACGGACGTTTGAACATTTGCGTTGCATGGACGGTGGCAAGTATCGACGACATTTAGGGCTCATGGCCTTATGTTTGCCTTGATCTTAATCAATGATCCAATTGATTAAGATAACAAAAGCTCTGATACCAATTGGTGGGGATCACAAAGAAAAGAAAAGAAAGAAAAGGAGAATTTGAAAATATTAGACAAAAGATGAGGGAACTTCTACTATTTAATCAAGGTTCATTCATTATAGAATTTGAAAATCAATAGCAACCTAGTTTCTTGTAGTGGCCAGAGTCTTAATGAAAAAAGGAAAATGATTGACCAAATATTTTACCTCTATTTGCCTTGTATAAAAGTTGTTTTGTTATTGCTCGACTTCTCATTTATAAAAGCATTATAGATGATTTTGTGTTGTTGAAAATCAAAATGATAACCAAAAACTTGCATTTTGTAGGTAGACAACAAAAAAACATTTTGCCAAATAGTAATGCTACACAGACAAAATTGGGATTCCAACTAATGTGACTGTTTATGTGTTAACACTACATTTATAAGGAAGTAACTCATTCATATTATCTATAATCAATGTGGTGCTGACACATAAGTAGTCATATCAATTGGGAAACAAAGTTGGGATCCCAACTTTGTATGTGTAGCATTATTGTTTTACAAAAATTTAGCTGAACGTGCTCTTAATTCACCTTTTTCTCTATTTTTATTGTTTTGTCAAAACACGAAATAAATGAATGCATAATCAAAGACAAGATTTTGTTTATTATTATGATAGGAACCCACTCCCAAATTGATAGGAATTGGGTTTGATAATGGACATTTGCTAGGAATTAGGTTGGGCAGTGATCCTTTTGTGGGTTTGGGTAGAAATCTCCTTAGAAAACCGGTTTGTTAAGGGAGGGTATCCAACTTCTTATAAACCACATGCCCACCTCTTTTCCTTCTCAATGTGGGATCCTAACATTAATGAGCGCTCTCTGAAAAGAAGACCAACGAGGACATTAGGTCTCGAAGTGTGGAGGAATTTTAGGGCCCCACATTGAGAGGGAAAAAGGGTGGGCATGTGGTTTATAAGGAGTTAGGCATCCTCTCTTAGCAAGTCGATTTTCAAAGGAGAGTTCTATCCAAGTCCACAAAAAGACCACTGTCCAACCCAATTCCTAGTAAAGGCCCACTGCCCAACCCATTCTTATCAATTTGGGAGTGCGTTCCTACCATATTATTTATGGAAGTTCTCTAAATTAGTTACTCAGTCAACACTCATTGTAGTTTATTGTTGTTTTTAGATGATTGATATATTGGTGTTTAGTGGATATAGCGTAGAGGTTTATGTTGTCTCTTGGTTTCCAAATTGTTTATGATATTAAAACTTTGCCTTGAGTATTATGTTTCCGTATTTGTGTTTGACTTTTGAAGAAAAAAATGATTCAAATGTTCTTTGTTTGGAATTTTATTTCTATGATGTTTCTGAATGTATTTGTGACGTTAATTATTCTGTTGAGCCTTCAGGGTTTGTGGCATGAAAGTATATTTTATATGGAGTCAGATGGGGTTGTTAATGTGATAATGCCCATTGCTTTTAATTTTTACGTGTTAGAATGAAATGATTTTCTGTAGCCCCCAAGGGCTTAGCCTTGTGGTTCACCAGCCACCTTCTTTGGCTGGCCACCCAGGTTTGATCCTTGGGGATAAGAGAGGGGTTCAAAAATGCTTTGAGAAATGGCCCACCCCCTATCCTTTTTTTTTTTTAAAAAAAAATTGATATTACTTTAGATTATTTGTTAATTTCATCACATTTATTTGTGTTTGTAATGTTGGTTAATTTACTGATATATCTAGAACTTTTTTTTGTTACACTTTCTTGGCTGCAGGGGAATTCTCATATATCTATATGAACAGCATTTTACTTAAACTTGCTGACATGATGAACCTTGCAACAGTGGACATGTCTAGCACAAACCATGTGAGTGTTTAATGGGAGTTTTTGTCAACCTTGCAGTGTCTCGAACTATTTGTTGCATTGGTGATCGGAAACAATTATCATCTAGGATTAACAAACCTGAAACTAGACAAACATCTGATTTGGAGTTGCCCTTGAATTTCACAAGCTGTGTGTTGTACTTTGCAAATCTTTGTTTGATGTGGTCCAGTTACTGTATCTAAAGCTTTTGGGCTTCTACCATGTCTATGAAAATTGATTGATATGCTTTTTGTCATGATTTGCAGCTGCAGCATTGTATTGGATCTGCAGTAATTGCTATGGGACCACAGAGGATACTTAAACTCCTACCTATCTCCCTTGATGCTTATAATTTTACTTGTTCAAACACTTGGTTGGTTCCTATCTTTAAGAATCATGTTGTTGAAGCATCACTAGGGTTTTATATGGAGCATATTGTTCCCCTTGCTAAAACATTTCAGCGGGCAAGTCGTAAAGGTATTTCTTGTAAGCATATGAAGTTAAATTTTTTTTTTTTTTCCCAATAAGTGAGCATTATTATTAGACATCAAGTGTAATAAGGGGCTGTTGATATGATATCAGAAAATCTTTTCTGCAAAATCAATTCAAAAATTGAGTATTATAAATTTCATTTGTTTGATTTTCAAGATTTGTAAATGTGTTTTTTAAAATGAAAAAGATATTTTTTAATATGTAAATAGTAAAATAACATTGTTAGTGATTTTAAAAATCAAATTAAATTACTTCTAGAAATGGATACGAAAGGGCTTTTTGATGTGACAAATAAATCTTGAAACTGCATAAAAAAGTATAAATGTGTTTCCGTCTTTTTTTTTTTTTTATTTTTTTTTTTTTTTTTTATTCCTTTTTTAAAACTTAAAAATGGAATTTATTTTTTTTATAACGCTTTCTGAAAATGGTTGAAGGATTTATTTTCTCTATTTTTAGACTTTGAAAACAATAAATTATACTTCGAAATGAGGAAGAAACGTAGCCTAAACTACTGATAAAATGAGAATGTGTTTCTTTCTTTCGTTTGTTTTTTTTTTTTTTTTTTTTTTTTTTTTTTTTTCCTTTCCTTCTTTATGACCCTCTAGAGCCCATCTAAAGGGATTTTTTATTTATTATAATTTGTTTTTTTTGGTATATTGCACTGCACAATTTTGTGTAAAGGCATTAACTATCACTGTGAAACCTTGTCAAAGTTTGGACATGTTGCATTTCTCCTACCATGTTTATCAAGGATATTGTGAATGCAAGGAATCATTGGGTGCGTTTGGTTCCCTATTTCTATCCATATTCTCAATTCTATTCTCCAAATAATGTTTGGCACATTATTCCAGAAATATTACCCTATTTTTTTAATTACTTTGACCCCATAAGGTTATTAATTTCAATAAATACCCCCTGAAAAAAAGTTTAAAAATTAACAAAAACACCCCCATCAACCCATACTTGGCAGATTCCGGCAACCACCATCGGTGATAGCCGGAATCTGTACAACGGCCTACCTGCTGACCATAAATGGTCGGAAGTTCACCAATCTGATCTGGCCGTCGTTGACGGTCAACAACGGCCACATCTTTGGTCGTCGCTGACGGCCAAAGATGGACTTCGTTTGACATTTTCCGCCCATCAACGACAACATTTGGCTGTAAATCTGGCCTTTTCCAGCCAGATCCTTGGCCGGAAAAGGCCATAACGACACGTTACGGCACAGATCCGACCGGTCTGTGTCGTAATAAAATTTTCCAGCTAGATTCCGGCAATGGTGGCCGGAATCTGGCATTGCAGATGGTGTAGGTATTTTTGTCATTTTATATATTAGGGCCTTTAATTAAATTAGTAAACCTAAGGACTTTTTCATAAATTTTTAAAGTTTACCTCGTAGTACTCCCCTATCCAACAACCCAATATTATTCCCAAAATCCTATCCAAAATAATGAACCAAATGCACTCATTATTATCCAATGATGTTATATCTTTTCCAGTGTTTATTACTTCACCAAACAATTGAATTGTAACATGTAAAAACAATTTAGTTCAATATCTAATCATGCGTTATTTTGTACTCAAGATATCTTGATTGGATTAGGAATTCCTTGTGTTGGATCAATCTCTTATTCATTCTGTTTTATTGCATAGATGACCACTATGTAATAGATTTTCTTTCTTGAGTTATAGCACAAATAAATATATAATATTATTTTGGTTGATAAGGAAGGTCAAAAGTGTAGCTAATCAATATGATGTTTCACCTTTAATCATCTTAGAATCTAGGGCCCAAAGGCCACACCAAAGAGAATTTTGTTCAGTTTAAATGGGTTTCAGATTTATGGGTTTAGTATGTATCATATCTTCCTGATAGCATATTAGTCAGTTTGAATGTCTGGTTGTTACAATTTGAATTCTGAGTATGTGATGTAATACTAAATTGTATTCTCTCATATGCCTTTCTGTTTTTATTTTTAAAATTCTTTTTTACGGGTTCCTTTTTGGAGTAACTCTATTTCTGATTGTAGAACTATAATGAACTGAGGAGTGAAACTCTCTTCTTCTTTCTTCACCACTTCTGTATTTTCAGTTCTACACATATTCTTTTATGTTACCATTCTATTACAATTGATGCTTGCATCTTTAGTTTTCACTTTCTGGAATTCTTTTTCATTTTTCTTTCTTTCTTTTTCTTTTTCAGTTAAGAAATCAGTAATTGGTCAAGATTTGCAGGCTCATGCTCAGGCACTGTGGGGACTGCTACCTGCCTTCTGTCAGTATCCAACTGACACTCGCCAAATGTTTGAACCTTTGGCCAAACTTTTAATTACCTTTCTTGAGGACTCATCTATGCATGAAAATATTGCTGTTGCCTTACAGGTAATCTTTCTTAGTCTTCATAGCGATTCCAAGCTAAGCATTTTTCCTTTTTATGGGTTGAAGAGAGGGGAGGTTATGCATTAGAAGTTTATATCTTCATCATTTTATGGCAAATTTATTTTATTTTATTTTATTTTTTTGGCTTTCATTATTATATCATGTTTCTGCTTATTTAGCCTGTTTACCTTTTCATTTCTCTTCATAGGTTCTAGTAAATCAAAACCGAAGCGTTCTTAACTCAAAAAATGATATTGGTGAGTCAAGCATCAGTGAAGATCAGAAGGATACCTTCATATACGAAGCAAAGGATTCTATATTAGAGATCAGAAGGATACCTTCATATACTAAGAAAACTGCAACAAAAAATATTAAGGCTTTGGCATCATGTTCTACCGACTTGCTCCAGGCTTTGGTCAACTTATTTGTTGACTCACAGCAGGAGAAGTGCTCGTATTTAAAGGTTTCCATCTTTTATTCTTAATACACATTTTAGGGTCTGAATATATGCTAAGAGTTAGAACTTTTTTCAGATATCAGATCATTGCCTTCAGCTTTTCTTGAATATCTTCGCATTGATTATTAAAAAACGTATCTTTTAAATTTGTGAATTTGTTGTATTATTCATCACATTTTTTCTGGTCCTTTTGATAGGATGCCATTGGTTGCTTGGCTTCTATAACAGATTCTTCCACAGTAAAAGATATTTTTATGACATTGCTGAAGAGGTTTCATTTGGAAATGGCAAAGGTGATTTGACTTTGGAAAGTCATATCAATAATGCCCTTGATAAGAGCAAGGCGATCTTAGTGCTTCAGAGAAAGATCTACAGAGGTAAACTGAATGGAATTTTAGTTCTGTTTTATTTGGAATAAACAAAAAAGATATAAAATGAATGGATTAGTGAAGTTTGTTTTTTTTGTGCATTTCTGTATGCTGATCTTTTTTTTTTTTCATTCTTAAATATTTATATAACCTTTGTTTCTTAATTAATCATATCCGACTTGATTTTTTTTTTTTTCAACTGTATATTTTTTTTGGTAATAGATTAGATTGATGAAATTGTGTCATGCATCTTTTTGACTTTCTTAACAGTCTGTGATAATGGACTAGCACTTCTTTTGTCGAAGGAGGCAATAGAGATCTTGTGTGATTAATTTACAACTTCATTAGGCATACTTTTCAGGTATCTTAAAAAAACCTGCCCTGTAAAGAAAACTTTTTTTTTTTTTTTTTTTTTTTTTGTGTTTGAGTTATTCTAATTTCATTTATGGCCCTGTGGTATTTAGGCTAGTGATGGGACAGGTCATCTTGAAGCCTATCACACTTTGGGCAAAGTTTTAAAGGTTTTGTTTACATCTTTGTACTTTTGAATTGTTGTTAGTAATGCTTGTTGGTTTATGGACTTCATTGTAATTGTATGGTACAGGACATGCTTGGTTTTGTACATCCAGATATGAAGAGCTGATTGATTTATTACTTGGCCTGAAATCTCCAGCTGATGTTGCAACTCTTATGCGCCGTTTAGCATGTTTTCATATTCTTCTGGTTCATACATTGAAGGTCATATATTTTGTTTTAGTATATTTATTTTTAGTATTTATTTATCTTGGAGTTAAATATTTTTTTTATTAGTAGGTGTTTTCTTTTAAATTATTTGAGGTATATGGTATTTGCTTATGTGAGTTTGATGTACTTCTCTAGTTAGATTTTTGCCAGTTGAAAAATATTAGCTTCGATTCAGACTTTAGTATTGAAGAATGTAATGGAAATTTAGCTTCTCCTCCACTCTCTCTGTTTCCTCCCTTTCTTTTTGGTTCTCCTACGTTCTTTCTCTCTTTTCTTCTACCTGCCTGTCCTTCATGACATGCAGACTGAGATAAGAGGATTCATAGTGCTCTTGTTCAGCTCCCCTTCATCTTTTCCTTCCTCTACATTTTTTTGGCCTCAAGGCCTTTTGCGTGGCTAGTTGGCAAATTTTATCTCTATGGAAGAGTGTAGGTTGACTTGACAGAAACCAGCAAGGAAAAAATTCTGTGAAGTTGGGATTGTATCAGGATCACCATTCTTATGTCCCTTGTTTTAAAAAACCATGCACTGATAATATCCTTTGTAAGGTTTACTGTGAGTGCATCTCTGGCAATCACTTTGCGCTATACAACAGAAATCTATGATCTTATGCTCCCCTCTCCACCAAAAAAAAAAAAAAAAAAAAAAAAAGAGAAGAAGAAAATTTAAGCCTCTGTAATATTTTGCTGTGTTGGCACATAAATTGCATTTCCATTTATAATATCATATTGATTGCCTCCTTTGATGTAATTTGAAAGTTACAACTTAGTTTGCAGACTTAGATGGTGATTGTTACCTATTTAATTCTTTCATGTTCTTTTGCAGGAAAGCTTGGAAGAAGAGAATACGAAAGCTTTTTATCCTCAATGAGATTATACTCACACTAAAAGATGTAAGAGTGGCTTAAAGAAGTTTGATATGATTAATGCTTTATATCTAATTTTCGTGTAGAAGCCTGTGGATTTTGTTCTGTGTTCTATGCCCCCTCCCCTCCTTTCTCCATTTATAGTATGATGAAGTAAATGTTCATATAGGATGACCAAAAGTTGCTTTCTTTGTATCAAGGGTGAGGTTGAATTTGACTATTTATGGTTTTTAAATGCCACAGTTTAGAAGTTTTCAGAGTTTTAGTAACGTTTATTGTGCATTTAATTAATTTATGTTTTCCCAGGTAGTTGAAGGATGAGTTCTCATTGTATTTGGTTACGGAAATAGGTTTTAGTTGAGAAAGATTGGAAATTATATTGACTGCTGTTTGAATATTATAAAAAATAGAAGACCAAGTGAAATCTCAGATCACTTCTTTAAAACCTCAAAAACAGGCATAAAGAAGTGCAGGAGGGGACATGTAATGAACTAGCCATGCAATTTAGTGTATGTGAGATGTTTTCCTGATACTTACCCAAAAAAAAAAAAAAAGTGTTTTCCTGATGAGTAGAAATTAAAGATAAATAATAAATTGAAAGGGATTTAGAAGACAGCAAAAATAAGCGGGGGACGGAAGTTTTAAGAATAGGAGGAAGACTTCCCATGCTTGTGGAAAAAATCTGCAACTGCATGCTCCACGGGTTCTACTTGGATGAATCCATTACCGGATTATTCTTCCAGATTCTTTGTCCTGTTTGCTTGGTGCAAGGCATTAGATTCACGTATACCACCTTTCCTGTGCCTGTATTTTAGTAGATCCAGTGCTTTGGCTATGCAAGGTAGCATCCTAGGAAGCCTCTTGTGGTACCCCTCCTTCACCAGCAAACTGAGAAAAAGGGGGCAATATATTAGGAGTTGTTTTGCTCCTTTATCTGTTGTTGCGAGCTTTGTGATTCAGCCTCTTGAAGATCTTGTAAATTGCTACTATGATCATTATTATGTGATGTGAATCATCTGTTAATCATTAGTATTTGATATCGCACGTTAATTGTCACCTTAATGATAAGTGATTGATTTGTTAATGATATGAATTTCTTTTTCATGTAATCTGTAGGCAAAGGAAGAACTCAGAAAAGCGCTTTATGTTCTCCTTTCAATAGTTCCAGCTTGAGAGAGACATCTAATGTCAGTTCTGATGCATCATATCACAAACTGGTTAACATGGTAAGGCTCCTCTTGAATAGTTGATTTGTCTAGTGGGACCTTTATATTTGCGTGTTCTTCCTTTTCTTTTTTTCAGCTGACTGTACCTCAAACCCTAACTGATTAGTACCCTGGGAGGTATTGTATGTGGATTACATATTGTGATACTTCTGCTTTATTTATTGATTTCTTCTTGTATACAATTCTAATTTTTGGCTTTGGTAGTAAGAAAGTTTAAAATTCACAGCCCATTTCTGTCCGTTCAATGATTGCCATGACTACTTCTTGCTGTATTATTAAGGACTAATGAAAATTTCCTCCTCTTCAGATCATGGGTTATCTATCTGGTTCATCTCCTCACATAAAAAGTGGAGCGGTGTCTGCATTATCTGTGCTGGTATATAATGATCCAGACATCTGTCTTTCAATGCCTGATTTTTTTTCCTCTCTTTTATCCTTGCTTCAGAGCAAAGCTGTGGAAGTTATAAAGTGAGATCTTCGTCATCCTAATTCTTGAATTTTTCTGGGTGCTTCCTTATATGCCATGGATTGATTGTTTCATATCAAACAGGCTGTTTTAGGCTTTGTGAAAGTATTGTGTCTTGCTTACAAGCGAAAGACATCCAGAATTTCCTTGGTGATGTCATTAAAAGATTTTCTGCCATGGTCTTCTGTTTCTGAAATCATTTCAGATCAAAGGTACATTGATTTTTTGTTAAGCTTTTTAAACACACAAATTTGTTTACCGCACTGTTGAAAGATCTTCATGCAAATACTCTTGCATTCCATCTACAGGTCACTGTCATTTGAGATTATGAATAGGAAGTGTGGTTTTGCTGCTGTTGAATCCATTACTCCTGAAAATATACGAGTTTTGTGAAGACTGTTTTGGAGGTAATTTATTTCTTAATTTTAAACAATCTTATTTTTACACTATAAAATTGCAAATTTTATTGATCGAGGAATAGGGTGGACACTTAGCAGGCTCCATTCATGGGAGGAGCTTGTTATCTTGCATGCGAATCCTCTACTTTACTGCGTTCTCTATTCTGTGGCTTCCAGATAAATTTTGAACTCCTCATCAAGTTGCACCTGTAACCTCCTTAACACTTTTATTTTTATCCAAATTGCTTGTTGGGATCTTGTTATGCGCTATTCCTTTCATCTTATTTTCTTGGACCCTTGTGGCATCATCAATCAAGTGTATATGCATGCGTCGTAGACTTTGTACATTTCAGTAAACAAACTTCATGGGAAAAATTAAATTATTATTTTAATACATTCCATACTTATATTCAAAATCTATATAAATGATTCCATATAATAGCATGCAGCAGGATCTGTTGTGCTTCTTGATTGACTTGAACCAATTAGTTCTTTTATGTAATTGGCCCAGACTTGTGATATAATTACTTGGCGGCATGGATATCTTATTGCAGAACCGCCATAGCAAATCGAGTACCGATGAAGTTGACATTGGTCCAGAGACAGTGACCACGGATTCACCTGCAAAAGGTCTGATATCTTTACATAGAGCTTGAATTTTCCTTTTGAGTCTTTTGTGTTTTTCAATCTTCTGATTACTATTAAACTGCGTATTGTTAGGCCACAAAATAGAAGCGCAAGAACATGGTACTCAGACTGCAGAAAGTGGTTCAATAGAATATAGAAAAGAGAAAGAGAGAGCATAAACACATTTCTACTGGTGCCAGTGGCTTCAAATCAGCTAAGAGAGATAGGAATTTTAATCATGAAAAGCCAGTGAAAGATCAATCAACAGGAGGTTGGAAAAACAATAAGAGTTTAATAAAGGGCCCATGGGTAATCGTTGAGAAAGATGGAGCCGAAATGAAGGGCAGAAAAAATGAAGCAGCAGTCCGTAGACCTGCTTCTGCTTCCAAATATAGCAAAACAAAATTTGGAAGGAAATGACAGAAATAAACTGATTTGATGGGATCTCCATGAAGTGAGCACAGAGAGTTGCTTGTGCTGAGCCTGACAAGAATTTGCGTAAGCTCTTCATGAAAGAACAGCTATACAATAAGAGTGGTGATATTTGACAGAATGATGGATGTTATTCTGCCCTCCTTCCCTACCTTTCCGTTGTGGATTTCTTGCGGCAAAAGGAAATCATGGCCGGATAGTCAAATTTTTGGATTTCATCGAGGACGATGGCCTCTTGTTATTTCAGGTCTTCGTAGGCTGTAGAGAAGGTAATTCTGTTCGAGCTTAAATACTCATACTAGTCATCGAATAGCTGGAAAAATGTATACCAATTTTTTTTTTTTTTTTTTTTTTTTTTTCCAATTGAAAGATTATGCTTGTATAACTTTATTGGGTTATTCAATTTAATGTGTACCAAGTATAATCTTCTGATGAGAAGTAGATTGATTTCAGTACTTTAACATGTCTTGATTGTATTGCTACATATATTACGGTTGACACAAGCCAAGGTCTTTAAAATCTGCAATTCCTGTTCTTTTGCAGATTCTAACAATTATAGGGTTTATTTTCATTCAGTACTATCCTTCACATATCTTAAAAAATTTCACCACCAGTATCAATGCCAAGAATGAACGATTCTTCGTCCATAAGTAAGAAGGCATCCTTCTCATTGGATCACCTTATTCTTGTACTAAGGTGCCAGATATCCCGTTGCTCCAAATCACCTTGTAATCATTGACAGATGGTGAAAAATCTGGTAATGTGGCATATTGTTCATTGATAAGATATATTCAATAGTTTGATATTTGTAAAAACAATGGGTCTAGAGATCCAACATGGAGATAAGCAACCCCATTGCAATCTTTAACCTATGACTATGTGGTAAATGCTCAAAAGGGTTTTATGACAATGGTGAGTAAATATGCGATCACCAAGAGTTGTATACACAGATTCAAAAACTAAAATGAGAATTTCAGTGTCTACAGCATTCTATTAACTTCAACATCTGTGACACAGCACTACTCTTTAAACATCTTCGTAGATACTGGCTACTTTAATCCACATCATTTTGATGGCAAAGTATTATAGAAAATAATGGTGTTTATTTGAGCCCCACCATGTTCTCCTAACCCCGATAATATTTTTTAGAAAAATAAAATGTTTTAAAGTGGTAATTACCATAAGGTTTTTTTTTTTTTTTCTTTTAGTATACCCCTATAATAAAACATTCTATCTATCCCAAACCTAAATCCTTTGTTTTTTTATATTTTTTCTAAACATAGTTTTGAAATTTGATGTTCGAAGAGATAGAATGGAATCAACACATGAAAATAAATACAATGGATTAATTGTTCTTGTACTAAGGTTGCTTTAAGAAATTCAATTTAACTCTTGTTTTAATTACAAGTTAAACAACAATTAAACTTTCTATTTTTTCTAATAGAACAACGAAAACAACAAGTAGAAAAAAAATATAATTTTAAACTTCTCCATTGCCGATTGTATGTTTGGTGAAAAGTCTTTCATTTTTTAGTTCCCTTGAAAGTTAAGTTGATTGGAAATAATATTACAGGTAAGAATAGAAGAGAAAATAGATTGTGAACGAAATTGAACGAGAAACAGACTGTGAACGAATGCAAGATTTATTTACAAAAAAAAAAAAAAAAAAAAACAACTTAAATTTAGCACAGGTGAAAAATGGAGATGACAATGTCAACAAGTAATAAAGAAAAATGATAGTAAAGGAGGATAATTTTGGAATTAAATAAAATATGCGTAAATTAAAATTTTAAAATAATTTGAATTATTATTGGGGTTTAGAAGAGATAAATTACTGACGCAAGACATCGCGAGAAATCCCATCTTAGCGAGGTTGAAACTCGATTATGAATTCAACCGTTTTGAGCTTAGAATAGCCAAAAAGCCACCTTGGTTGGTAACGCCAAAGATAACTATAACCTCAAAGAGAAGAGAAATCAAATGTTTTAACCTAATATATTTATAATTTTAAGGATGATTACAAAAGATAAAACAAGACTTTATTTATAATCTTCCAAGTGAAAAAAGTGAAGTAAAACAAGAAATCAAATGTTTGACTTCCTCGAGCAAGGCGAGCCACTTCATTTTCTTCGCACAATAGTAACAACGCACCTATTTTTTTCTCGACAAGCTTTCTCAAGACTAGACTTCGTGATATGTTGTAGGCTCCTCTGATTTCTTCAAATGATTTTCTGGTCTCATAGGGGTCACATTACCCTTACCCCTCCTTTTTGAAAGATACATGTTCTTGTATCCATCGTAAAGTGGCTGAATAGAATCGTGATTAAGGTCAACGAAGTTGCGCTGGGGTCATAGTGCTCCTGGGAGAGATGTTGTTGTCAGCGAGATACGATAAGATCGACGATCTGAGGAACAAGTTAAAGATCTCCAACGGCACTTGAGCAAATCAAGGCTTCGATGGAAGAAGAAGAGTCTAAAGATATTTTTGGTGATGACGTTGGGTTAACAATGGTGACCACTTTGATTATTTTGATTATCATGGTAAGTCGCCAAAATTTGATGAAGAAATTATTAAAGAATCATGTTTCAAGATTTGGGTCTTCAAAAGGCTGCTCATGAAACAAGTTCCTTTATCATTAATTGTGTTGCCGACGTCATGATTATTATGACAAGATAAGGCTAAAAAGATTTTGTTTTCCATTATCGGGCTGATTGGATGGATATTGTTACAAAGACAGGAAAATTTTATGTTCTTCGTGCATATTACCTAGAGATGAACTTAAAGAAGTTTCGATTAATGCAATTGAAGATGAAGATATTCGGGCCAGAAATTGGAGGGAAATTCCAACTAGTAGGGAGAATGATGCATATATTTTAAAATTCTTTAGGAAATTTTTTTTTTTATTTTCCTATATTTAGGTTTTCTTATTTTATTATAGTAGTCCTAATTAAATTAAATTTCTTGTTTTGGTATTTTCCATAATAATAAGATTTATTACAGTCAATAGTTTATTCATTTCCTGTTAATTAATGATAATTATAGTATAAATAAAAGTCTTTATAACCTTGAAAAAAAGAGTTGAATATATTATTTGATTGAATTATTGACAACCTTTTGTGGTTGTTTTTATCCAATTTAGTATCTGAATTTGATACATTCGTGGTGTTTATCGTATCCTTTTTTTCTTATGTCCAGTTATCACATCTCTTGGTTTTTTCGACATCATTGGCAATGGTAGAGACTTTAAAAGGTTGAAATTTCTTACTGCTGTTTGTTTCTCAACATCATCTGGATGGTGATTGGCATTGATTATTCAAGTAATGAAATTTTTAAGCAATTTTGTGTCAAGCTTGCCCAAAAATTAAAATAAAATGTACTTTACCACCTTTCAAGATGAACATTTATCTTTAAATGCTTCCAGTTTTGTAGGCAAGAATATTGTGTCAGTAACTTTTCTTTTCTCTTCTTTAAACTAACGACACTATATTTAGCTGTTGAGACCAAAATATGGAGGAACTCAGTTTTTTTTTTTATTGAATTTCTTTCATTTTGTTGCACATAGAAAAATTGATATTATTATTCAAAGAGTACATAACAGAAAATAAAGCGACATAACCAAAAAATTATACGATCTCATTTGCCTATAATTAGGGCTAATTTAATCATAGATAAACATTTATCTGTTTTACACTATTAATTTAGTTTAGGGGAAAAAAAAAGGTTACAGGTTATCACATTAAAAAGGTTCATTGTTCATGTTAAAAGTTGCTTCCTATTTCCTACTACGTAATTAAAAGATAAAGCAAAATAAAAAAACACCAAATTTGGTTTGCTCTCTTTGAGATGAAATACAGACCAATTTAGACAATAATTGCTTCAATAACTTATTTAAAGAGTCGGTGGAAACTGCAAACATGAAGCAATTGACTACCAAGAAAGGAGCAGACTCATTAGTTTCTTAAAATATAATGGAAGATCAAAACCAAAATTACAGCAACTATTAATACATAAGATCCTCTGTACCCTCCAGAAACTACAAGACAAGCAAGACAAACATACCAAATAACTTATCAAACGAAGTTAGACCAGGTTGATAGGATTTGATTTTCAGTGTATTTGTTCCTCAACGGCTCAAGTGAGAAAAAAAACCCACTTAAGAAAGAGGCATACATTGATTGCTAAATTAGTTTTCTGAGGAACAGTTATCATGAGTTAATCACATAAAGTACAGACCTTGCTCACAGTCACACATATGTTTAAATGACAAAATTCTCTTGACATAAAATATGCAGCTCTTGCTATAAGAAACAAAAGATGAAGTCCAAACAGGATACTAGAGAAAGATTCATAAACGAAGGCTCCACCATCTCTGAAATTATATATCTAAACTAAAATATCTTTACTGGAACGATACTTTGCCTGATTTGTTTCGCTATATCAACCATTTTGGTCTATCTTCTGCTGATTCAAGACTCATTTAAGGCAAATTCTGTGAAAGCTTGTAATTGCTGCTCTTTTACAGGACTCAGTTCCTCTCCAACAATTATTGGATCTACTATCTCAACAACCCGTCATTTTCGAAATACTTCTTCACATGATCCGATAAATAAAATCTTCACCTCCGCATTAGGATCTTCAGAGGATAAAATACTCTCTGTCCAGTCAAAAGTACAAGTAGCGATACACCAACTATAAACTCACACTTCTCATTGCAATCATTTGTAGTAATATACTCTGGTGCAACAA